TTATTGCTGATGCAATTGATGACACTGATGCCACCATTCACCATCCTCATTATCATTTATGTAATTAAGTCATTGATACAGAATATAATTCATTTATAATCATAATTATCATTTTAATTTTTCAATTTTAATCGATTAATTGATTTAATTATAGCTAATTGTAGTGAGAGAGTCGATGAAAAACTCATCAACCCAATAACACTGATCGTTTCATTTCTTAAACTCTTATTTATAAATGAATATTTATTTAACATAACAATAATAATAATAATATTATTATTATTATTATTATTATTATTACTATTATATTATTATTATTACTAATATTATTAACAATGATGTTTTTCAAAGAAATCGTAGTACGAGTCTAAATCCGGTATTTTTAATTGCCCTCTAAATAAAGCTAACAAAGTTGATGTACACTGTTACAATATGCATGTGCAAGCATGTTTGTTGGCGTCTCGAAACTTTTTATATCAATAGCGTGTTTGTGTGTGTGTGTGTATGTGTGTTGTGTGTATGTGTGTTGTGTGTATGTATGTGATGTTTGTATGTATGTATGAATGCCTGTCTTTCTTTATTTTTTTCTCATATTTGTTTTAACGGTTTTTGACTAACTGCTTATTTGATAAAAAATGTTCACAACTAATTATGGCATTCAGCACAAGTTTATCTCTTGCGATCACCTAAATTTTAATTTAAAAAATCCGGAAAATAGTATCTGTGTATAACCTATATAATCGCGGCCATTGTCTCTACAAAATGAAAGCTTAATAACAATAATAATCATGAAAGAATTTTATCAAAAAAAGATAACATCAACGCTATTTATGTTAAGTTTATAACGAAAGACTAACTAACTAATATTACAACGAGCTATGATGTTTGCATGTATCATATTGGTGCGATTGTTCAGTTTATGGTGTTTGAATGATCACACACGTAGAAGTTTAATCGGGCTAACACGACGAACAGCGTTAACAATGCGAAAAAATATGGTCTTACAAGAGAATTCACCTAGTATTTCAAACGTTTCACGCACTTAAAACACTTCGCCCACATGGCATCAAATTATTCGACATCACAGAATCACTAATCATCTCACGCATCAAATATGCAACTCCTTCATGGTCTGGTTTCGCTACACAACAACAACTTCAACAACAACAATCCCTCATCAAAAAACTAATTCGCCTCAACTATCTACCTGCATCATATCCTACCGTCACTCAGATAGTCAACACACACCATACAAGACTGTTCAAGAAAGTGGAAAATAACAAAGCCACGTCATCCATCTCCTACTATCACTAATCCAAACTACAACACACAACCTTCGTCAAGGCAAGCGTAACTATCAAGTCGCCACTCAATTGCCATATCAGGATAAGGCCCTCATCCCAAGGCACCTTAAATATATTAGCACTCAATAAGACTTTGTCATTCACTCAATTTTGTTTATTTTTTTTTCTTTTCGATCACTTAATTTACTAAGTCATTAACTAGGCTATGAATTAATTATTTTATTTATTTGTTTTTTTAAACCGTTACTTAGTAAGTCCTTAACTAGTCAATTAATTATTTTATTTATTTGTTTTTTAAACCATTACTTTATTTGATTTTTCATTCTTTTCACATTTAAACATTTTTTTCTTCGTTGTCTGCTTTTCTTTATCATTTTATACTATTGCCTTGCAAGCTGTAACAGTTTCTGCGTTTATCAGATTCTGATTCTGATTTCTTAAAAAATAATTGAAAAAATTCAGTATATTTTATCATCTTTTATTAATCTGATTCTTTTTCTCTCTCTCCCTTCCCCCCCCCCTCTCCCCCCCTCTCTCTCTCTCGGTCGGTCTTTCTCTTTTCTACCATTTCTTTCTTGCTGTCTCTCTCTCTTTTGCTATCTCTGCCTCATTTTTCTTCATCTTTTATTCTCTTCATGTATGTTTGTTTATTTTTTTCATTATTTTTCTTCATTTTTGATTGATGCAAGAATTCTTTCTCTCTCTCTCTCTCTCTCTCTCTCTCTCTCTCATGCGCGTGTGTCACAGAAATTTAAGATCAGGCAAGTGAAGTGATGATCGATAATAAAATGTTACAATTAAACAATTGCTTCTTATATTGTTGTTACTCACCTTTTTTTAATTAGCTTACTAACTACCTACCTACCTACCTACACACACACACACACACACACACACACACACACACACACACACACACACACACACACATACATATACAAGATATAATAAGCGTATGTGCATATACATAGTGTAAAATAGTGTTAACAATAAATTGCCATACACATATAAATATATATATACATTCACATATATATTTATATATACAATAATTTATAATAACTTATTATGTATAGACTGTAGAGTGTATATATATATATATAATAACTCGAAACGTATAAAACTAGAAGAATCTGTCAGTCGATCAACATTATAACACAATCTCTTTGTTACTGTTAAACGAGCTATTGGTACTTGCATATGTGAGTTGTATTTGATAATATTAGTGATCTCATTGACTTCTAGGTGTTTTCAAAATCTAATTCATTTAGAAATTAAACATATTTTATTCGTTAGACTTTACAATTTATGTAGAAAGTAATAAAAATAACTACTCTCTAATTTTTCGAGATGTGTTCTCACAATTACGAGAGCTCTTTTGATTTTTCTGACAATTCGCACGCGTTTCGTCAGCAAAATAACAGCTGGCAGAGCAACTGTTCAAAGCAAAATTCTATTCCACCTTACGACATTTACCAAAACTTCAATTACTATCAAGAAGAAGAAACAGGCACCAACACGAATGCCTTCGTGTTTTCAGTTGTTCCGGTGGCGTCTGCAGTTGATTTCAATCCGGGGAAATGTTTCCCATCCACACTTCCACAGCATCAAACTTTACCAATAACAATTCCAACAACGACATCTCCGTCATATTTTAATATTTCGTCGCCAGGTGATTCAAACTACATTCCAACAGTAACAGCTGCTACGAAAGACATCAACAACATCAACATTACCAACAACAGCAACAACACCAACAACCTCTTTGATTCAGGTTTCTTCGAGCAGATATGCTCTAACGATGATTTTGATCAGTTCTGCCTTCTAAACAACCAACTCGACCATCACAACACTTTCTATTCCAACGACAACATTCTCGATCACATTAACAACATTAACGTCAACAACAACATTGTTAACAACAACATCAACGATAACACTTACAACAACAGCAACAGCTGCAACGCTAACAGCTGTTGTTTTTTTAGTGGCTGCAGCTTGAAGCTGAGTTGCGGTGGCTATGTTGAAAAAGCTCCAACAACGGAAACCAACAGCCATTGTATCAACAACCGTAATAACATCAACAGAGATCATATCCAACACACCAGCATTGCTAACAATCAACAGACAACAACACCAACAACATTTCAACAACAACAACAACATTACAGCAAGCAGTCCTTGTCGTCACCACCTGTTTGTTTTACCAATGAAAGTGACCAGGACTGTGGTTTGAGCAGTAGCGATATGTGGCTCGATAGCATTAAGAATAGCAATGCAATAATCGGCTCGGACAACAAAATTTACATCATCGTCAACAACAACAACACAAGCAATAACATCAATAACATTCACAATAATATCAACAACAACAACATCAATGATATTCATAACAACATCAATAACAACAACAACAATACGATCCACAATTGTAATCACAGCTTTCATAATAATAACATCAACAACATTAACAACAACATTAATAACAATAACTCGCCCTACAACTGTGACAGCACATGTACCAATTACATCAACAACATCTATTACAACAATAGCGTCAACGGCATTAACATAAATAACATCTACTACAACAACAACATCATCAACAACATCAACAACAACATCAGCCAAACTAACACCTACTATAGTCATAACATCAATGACATTAACAAACCAAAGGTCAACAACAATTACACCAATAGAAATAACACTAATGATAATGATAACAACAACAACAATAATAATAATAATAATAACAAAAATATTTTTGGAATTTCGTCGAGTGGTCTCAACAGCAACTTCAAATTTCACGCTGCATTCGGCAACAATACGAACACAAACAACAACATAAACAACAACACAAGCTACAACACAAACAACAACACAAACTACAACACAAACAACAACACAACCAACAACACAATTAACAATACAATCAACAACACAAACAATAACACAACCAACAACACAACCAACGACGTCAATAACGTGTCATGTCCTGACGTCATTGACCTCATTAACGGCAACAAAAACAACGACAACCCAGATATAAACACACGCAAAGTTGTCAAGAATATTAATGTTGCAGCTGGTAACATCAAAAACATAAATAGCAGCGACATAGGCAACAGCAACAACGTAAACAACCACAACTTCATGAACAACAACAACAACATAAATATCAACAACATAGACAACAATAACAACAACATAGACAACAATAACAACAACATAGACATCAATAACAACAACATAGACAACAATATCAACAGCATAGACAACAACAACAACAACATAGACAACAATAACAACATAGACAACAATAATGTTAACAACATCAACAACAGCATTTTGGTGAACACTCTTATAAGCAGTGCCTTCAATGACTTAAGTGACTTCAACGTCACCGATCAACGTCTTTCATCATCATCATCATCATTACCACAACTACCTTCACCGTCATCATCATCATCATCATCATTACCACCACCACCATCATCATCATCATCATCACCATCGTCGACATCAACAACAAAACGACTGAAACCTTATAAAAATATTAACAACTTTCACAAAATTATGAACGTCGCCGATGATGATGATGATGATGATGATGAAGTCGGTGATGATGATGATGATGATTTGAACTTTTTAATAAAAATAGTTGAAGAGGATGGCGAGTTAAACTACTCAAAAATGAACGATTATGGTGATGACGACGACGATGACGATGGCATTCATGATATATATAGCAACATTGTCAGGAAGATTAACAAATACTACCACATACACAACAACACACACGACAACACCCACAACAGCACACACAACAGCACACACAACAACAGCCGAAATAATAACAACTCTTCGTTTTTAAAAAACTCGGCAACAACAAATATATTAACTAAACATCACCAACAACATCAACAACAACAACTTCAACATTCTAAACATAGCCGACAACAGTCAAATCAACAACAACAACAACAACAAGATCCTCACATTCATCCTCCACATAATCAACTTCAAAACTTATACAACCACAAAACAACTAAAACTAATAACCTCATAAACTACGACGACATCAGCTGCAATGACGACCACAAATCAACCACGCCACTTCATTTTGACGGCGACACCTGGCCACTGATAATTCTAACTCCCAAATCGAAACAACCCCGAGCCACCCAGCCAGGCTGCTCTACTCTAAAATACGAGAGGAGAACCAAGCCTATGTTGAATGAACGACGGATTTACAAGTGTGACGAACCAAGTTAGATGCTTTGTTTATTCGTTCGTTCGTTCGTTTGTTCGTTCGTTCATTTAATTATTCATTTACTCATTCATTTATCTGTTCTTTTGTTCATTCATTCATTCATTTCGACGTTACTTTCAAACTGATTCAGATTGCTGGAAGGCATATACAAAAAGTTCGCATCTGAAATCACACAAAAGAGTTCATACAGGTTTGCTAATTCATCTGTTCATTTACTTGTTCATCCAATCATTCATCCAATCATTCATTCATTCGTTCGTTCGTTCATTCATTCATTCATTTATTCATTCATCCATTTGTTCCTTTATATATTTATTTTTATATTTACAATAATTATTTTCGTATTTACGTTCGTATGTTTATCTGTCTTCAGATGTTGATATTGATATTGTCATAATTTAATATGCTAATATTTGCATAATTATCTTCTTCAAATGAGTTAACGTGGTCAAATTGTATTCTGAGTGGATCGGATAAAAAAAATGTTCAAGTACCATTAGGTTTAACTTTCAATACGAATGTTTCGTTATTTCTAAAGCTATAATAACACATCACACACGCTCGCATGCACACGCACACACATATATATATATTGAGCTTAGACTAATAAATACAATTATTTATAAAGATCACTGCATTTTGCAGAAAACGCAGTGATCTTTATAAATAATTGTATATATATATATATATATATATATATATATATATAGAGAGAGAGAGAGAGAGAGAGAGAGAGAGAAGGGAAGGGAAAGAAAGAGAGAGAGAGAGAGAAAGAGATATTGATGTCTAAGCCAAATACAAATACTTCTTATGTTCTCAAACATAAAATCAAGCAGTTATACTCGAGACACACATACAATGAGTAACAAAAGTAATGCGTGTGTTTATGTTCGAATGACTTCTATTGTTACGTTATTACTGCTATTAACAATATTGTTATTGTTGTTACTGTTGTTACTGTTTACTGTTGCTGTCGTTATTGTTGGCCCACGCAGTTTATAAACAAACACACGAGTTTTATTCACACACAGACGCCTATAAGTTGTTGTTGTTGTGTGTGTGTGTGTGTGTGTGTGTGTGTGCGTGATTGAAAACAATAGGAATGTAGAGAAGTTTAATTTTCGGGATTTTTACATTACTACGCATGATGTTTTAGAAGATAGAACGATAAGTTTCAACCAATCATGATCAGAAAGCAAAAATTCAATCAACTGCATCTAATGACACGGCTGTGCTTGTTTTAGTCATAAAAACATCGACTGACTAACAATCAGAGAGTAACAGTATTACAAAACAACCATAACAGTCACAACCAGCCACAAACAACCACATCAGCCACAACTACCAACCACAACAAACCACACATTCAACAGGCGACCGACCCTACAAATGCCCACTGGCCAACTGCACTGAGACTTTCTCGAGATCAGACGAACTGACGAGACACAAGCGTAAACATTCCGGCATCAAGCCCTTCAAGTGCCACCTTTGCACGACAGCATTCGCCAGGTCGGACCATCTGACCCTGCACGTCGCCAGGCACGAGAAGAAACTGATGAAGATGAAGAAGAAGAAGATGATGATGATGGTGGAGGAGGAGGAGACAAAGACGATGACGTCAACGAGTAACGATGACGAAATGATGAGGATGAAGCGAAAAGATGAAAAAGATGATAATGTAAGGAGAACCGCAACTGAGCCATTGACCTTCTGATGATGCTTGAGGTGCTGTCGAAACTATTGATACATTCGAGTAACAATTTCTTCTGTAATGTGGGTGGGTAAACTCAACGCGACAAATTAAACACGATAAGTAAATAAATGTACACATAATTTTAAAATGAATGATCGTATGTTATGTATGCACGATAAACAATCGCCTGAATAAAACTGAAATAACAGTCTAATTCATTATCTCCGTTGCATGTCAACAATGTATGCTTTATTATGACATCATCGGTGTGTATTCAAGATCTTTTATGATAATTTTATTCATAAATATAGACACTCAGTTTCTATATCTATGGTTTTATGATTACTAACCACTTACTGCTGATATTGCAACTTCTATTTTGGAATCACTGCAAATAACTTCATTTATTGTCGACATTTTGAGATTTGATGAAATACGTTAAAGGCACCAAGTACTTTTTCTATTGAAAGGAAAATTGTCACCAACCTATTTAGTTATTCAATCGTTCATTTCATTTAAAAACTTACATACGCACATATAGAAACTTTTTGTCTATTTTATTCAACATTTGAAACACAGCGTGACATTATTTCCATTGAAATTCATTATATTACAAAGTGCAATTGTTATCTGACTTATAATTTTTTAGAAATTTATTTTAGGCATAACTGGCAAATAAAATTCTTTCAAAAAAAAAAAAATTTCATTCTCGATCATAACACAGGTGGCTTATAACGAAATTGTAAGAAGCAGAAAAAGCAAACAGGCACGCTTCAAACTGACATTTATTTAATTTTTCGAAACTACAGATATCAAAGAAGTGTCATGAAGTTATAAACAGCGTCTATTTTTCAAGCAAATATTGGTTATAGAGAGATCTGTCTTTCTCAGTTGCGAATTTCGGAATAAAATTGACGTGAACGATCTCATCGAATCCTTCAGATAGATCTGGCTCTTTAAATTTGGATCTGAAATTTGAATGAAATATGAATTTGGAATTGAAGAAGTTTAATCTGGAATAATGATAACTTTAATCTCAAACAGTTTATCGCAGTGCAAATCAGTAAATCCTGATTATCAAAACGATAAAATGAAAATTGATACTGACTTGAAAGAGTTGAATACCATTTCGTTGATCTGTTGGTGTTGTTTGTCTGTCATCTCTCGGAACTTTAAAATTTTTAAATGTTTCAAAGTTAATATACCTTGTCAATAGTGAATAAATGTTTAAAAACTGCAACAAATGAACGCATGCCACAATCATTTTTATAAGAATCATTGTTAGTGTGCGTCGGCAATACGATTTGATAACTATCACACTTCATATTACCGTTAAACGTAAAATTTAACTTCATATTCAAATCACTCAACGCCATTCTCAAATTCAAAAATGCCTCATTCATCATCACCGTCGTCATCATCGTCCACTTACTTTTTCATTGTGCCTCGAGTGTTCGAACGATGACGTCATAACGAAGCATCTGCATCTCACGTTCATCTGCCTTGCTACCTTCAAGTACCTGTGTGACGCGAATTTCGATCGACTTCAATCAACCAACTACCGATTCGACAAACAGACCCATTCAAAAAACTATGCGTGTATCCACCCATAAGTCGATTTTTTAATCATTTATCTATTAATCCATCCAATCCTCTATCCATCCATCTATTCATCCATCTATCCATCCGTAAAAGTAGCAAAGGGACTTACTTCTCCCTGCTTTCAACATCGGGATTGGTGTTATCCACAACGACCTTTTCCTTCATCTTCAATGCATCCTCACACTTCTTCACACACTTCTGCCAGGTACCTAATGTATCCTGGAGGTGGTGATGATGACGACGATGAAGATGACATAGTGGTGATGATGATGAAGATGACGTATTGGTGATGATGATGAAGTTGACGTCATCATAATGATGAAAATGATTGTATTTAAGGATGACGACAATGATGAACACCCACTCTGTTAATTCGTTGATAGCCAAGTGGAACCAAATACGTCTTCACGAAATAACTTTTACCAGCTGGCAAAGATATTAATTGCCAAATTTAAAAAATTACAACAACTATAAGTTTAATTAAAAAAAATAATAATATTATTATTATTAACAACAACGACAAAAAATGACATCAACTCAAAAAAAACAACAAACAGACAGCAAGTACACAACAACGACTAACAAGCAGGGCATCCAACCATCACAATGATCTGCAAGAGAAAAGAAGAATTGTAAAAAAAATCTTCAACAAAAAGCGTGAAAACAATAAAACTGATGGAAGCAGCAGAACCTACCTCAGGATCGCCAGTGGCCGGTAGCTTAACCTCTTTCTCAACAAACAGACTAGCATTTTCGTCCAGTTTTTGCTGTTTAAACCAATTAGTCAATCATTCAGTTAATCAATCATTCATTCATCCATTAATTAACTCATTTATTCATTCATTCAACTACAAATTAATCAATCAATCGCTGAATTAAAAATTTATTCAGTCATTTAATCTATGAAAAACCAACAATCCACCAATCAAGCTATTAATAATATTAACAATTACAACAAATATAAATATAATAAAAATAACAATTATTATTATTGACTATAATTAAATAATTAAATAAATAATAACTGGATTGAACTCAGGCAAAGTGAACTTGGCGGGTTTCTGGCCTATGAAATACTCATCCGGGGTTTGAAACTTCAGACCGTTGTTCATGGAGAACTTTTAAAATGTGATGAAGATCGACCAATAGCTTAATCATTGAATACTCACTTAATCATAGTCTTACCCTCGGCTAATCATCGCTTAATCATTGTTTAAATATCATTTTTAATCATTATTTAAATATCATTTTATCGCCAGATTATAACCAACCAATCATCCTCTAATAATTTCTTAAGCGTCTTTAAGATATCCTAATTTAATCATCAGTTAACCATCTCTTAACCACCAGTTAATTATTCATCACGTAATCACCTACCAATCTGTCGCTACAAGAGAAATCCTTTTTCTTTTTTGGCAGCCAGTCTTTCGGTCGACCTGCAGCGTCTGGTGGTGGTGGAGGTGGTGATGATGGTGGTGGTAAAAACTAACTGACAATGATGATGATGATGATAACGATGATGATGATGATAACGATGATGACGATGACGTCACCAAAAATACAAATTGAGTGCGAAGAGATGAGAAAAAAGATATTTATAAAACGTTATTGAGAGTTCAGAAGTGCGCCAATAACCTCCAACGAAGAAGCTCTCAGCCAAATTAATTTCAATGTTGTCATTGCTCTGTTTTAATTGTGAAATAGGTAAGTAGATAATTAAGTACGCATACGTACAAAACATACAAACAAAGAAAACATACAAACAAACAAACATACATACAAACAAACATACTTACACACACACACACACACAAACAAATAAAACGAACCGCTATGAATCAACCAACTAACCAACCATTAACTACTAATTAATCAATCAACCAACGACAGATGAATCATACTAAAAACCAACACCAATCAATCTTTTCCACATTCCATGGCAAGGTTTTCTGTAGAAACCAGTGCCTGTAGCAATATAAGCCTGAATGGTTCAATGCTTCAAATGTTATTAATCGCTATTTAATTATTATTATATTGCTATTAATTATCATTATGATATATTATTATATAAATATTTACAAGATATTATTAATAAATAAAGGCTATACGCTGTTATACTGGAAAATATATAAGTTGTGAAATGTAATTGAAATGCTATAGGATATCTCCACCATTCTTTAGAACAGCGGTTCTCAACCTGTGGTCCGCTTACATTTGCCTGGTGCTCCACGAGCAAAGTGTCAAGTGAAAGTTTTTTTTTTTAAATAAAAAGATGAACTCCACTCCGATTGAGTCTTTCGAGCATTACACCCCATTCGGATAAGCTATGCTCAACTGTGCAAGCTCAAGGCCCACACTAAAATTAAATGTAGCATTATTTCTAATGTACTTAGCACGTTAAAAAACCACCTGTTTATTAATATTCATTATTCATTGTTGCTAGCAAGTGACATTTGTTCATTGTAATGGATACAATTACAATTTGTTTCATATTTGACATAAAAATTGATGATACGCCAGATACGCCGTGAAGATACGCTGCATGCAAACATCAATGCAAAACGAACATTATACTTAAAAAAATTTATTAAAATATATAATAAATAATTTTAAATAACAATTTTAATACACCAATAGTCAAATGTGGTAGCTGTAGTTCTTTAAGTCCAATAGTTATACTAAGAACTATGTTATACCAACTATGTGTAATAGTTATACTAAGGACTATGTTATACCAACTATGTGTAATAGTTATACTAAGGACTATGTGATACCAACTATGTGTAATAGTTATACTAGGAACTATGTTATACCAACTATGTGTAATAGTTATACTAAGAACTATGTTATACCAACTATGTGTAATAGTTACGTCATCATATGAAATAATATATATATATATATATATATATATATAAATATATATATATATATATATATATAATTTCAAGTGCTCTAGTAGCAAAATTTTTAAAAGTGATCAGCGGTTGAGATACACATTTTTTAAAGAGGTCCTTGAATCTCAAAAGGTTGAGAAGTGCTGCTTTAGAACTTTTAAAATTATTGTTAATCACAATCAACGCTACCATCACCGTCATCATCACTGCCATCATCATCACCATCATCATCGTCATTATCATCATCATAATCATGATGAAACTTACTTGAACAGGTACGCCGAGCTGCTTAACAACCTTTTCCAATTTCTCTTTAAAATCTTTTGCTTCTATCTTTCCTCTTTTAATGCCCAACTACAATGCAAACGTTCGTAGAGTGTAAATATTAAATGACAGGGAGAGGAAGTTTGTGTGTGAATGTGTATATATTTCAATATTTGTTTGTGTGTGTTTCTACGCGTATGCGTGTGTGTGTGTGTGGGCCAAACTAGCGGCAACAAATGCTGTTGATATTATAATGAAATGGATATTAATCCTGGCTACTGGTCAGAATATATTTATTTGGAACCTGATTTGAAAACAGGGCAATCTTGTAACCATCCTGGTGGAGAGTTTCCAATTTTTTAGGAACATCATGAAATAAGAACCTGCAAAGTCGTCAGTTACTGTTTAAATTTATTTCAATGTTTGTATCGTAAAGAGTTAAAATGTTTGTATCATAAAAAAGTGAACATGTTTGTATCATAAAAGGTTGAATAAACATGTTTGTATCATAAAAGAGTGAACATAATTGTATTATAAAAGGATGAGCCTGTTTGTATCATAAAGAGTGAACGTGTTTGTACCATAAAGAGTGAACGTATTTGTATCATAAAGAGTGAACATGTTTGTATCATAAAGTGAAGGTGTTTGTATCATAAAGAGTGAACGTGTTTGTATCATAAAGAGTGAAAGTGTTTGTATCATAAAGAATGAACAACGTTTGCACATAAAAAAAAACGATTATCAAACTTCCAATCAAGCATGTTTTCTGGGTAAACCTTGCCTGATTTTGTTGTTATTACAGTGTCATCGAGGTCAAAGCCAGCAATCTGAAGAATTATTTAATTTTATTATTCATTTTGTTTTATTGACGTGAATTATTTAATTTGTTTGATTTATTTAATTCATTTGTTTCACTAAAGTGAATTATTTAATTTTATAATTCATTTGATTTACTAATGTGAGTTATTTAATTTTATTATAATTAGAAGTAATAATAATTCATTTCTTAAAATTGTGATTACATGACAACAGGTAATTAACAAAATTATTTACGGCTTTATGCAATCGGACAATTTCCATAAAATATTTTACTAAAACACAACACATGAAATAACAACAACTGCTTTAGAAGAGCAACAGCTGCTGCAACAACAGCTGCTCTCTCAGCAACAACAGCTGTTGCAGGCAGGAACAGCAGCAACAACAATGCAAAAAACCACACACAAACTACATAGAGATAAAAAAAAAATTACTTTAGCCCTAGAGACAAGTCCCTCTGAATGGTAGACCAAGAGATGGCCATCGTCCACCTCCTCCCAGAAAGCCTTCACAAGGGGTTGGAGTGCTTTACTACTAGTGTTAGCATCAGTGTCTGGGTCATCACTTTTGAATTTATTTTTGAGTCTTTTTTCATTTGCACTCCCTTGTATGTCATCGACTTCATCATCATCATCATCATTAATATTATTAGCATCACCATCATTGTTATGGGTGTCATCAGCATTATCATCATTTTTACAAGCATCATCATCTTCTGAGCTAATTTTAATTTTTTTCTTTGATGTAGAGGAGCCATCTGTCACAGTTGATTTTCTTTTACCAGTCCTACCATTGTTAATGCAACTTTCACTCGATTCACTCACAACATCACCATTTTCATCACAAGTGTCATCACCAGCAGTTTCAACTTTCAGTTCATATTTAAATCCATTTGTCTTCAGAGACAGCATATCCCCAGACTTCATGATGTATTTCCTGTTCTTCTTTAGTACTTCATCATTCAACTGAGCGAACTTGCCAACCAGTGAAACGACGACGTGGCCATCTTCGGAATCGCAGTCGGCAACCAACTCAACTGTCAGCGTTAACCACAAAGACGAAAATTTTTTTACATAAAAAATCGAAAAAAATTGAAATTTCTTTTTTCAGGTTCAGGATTAAAAATTAGAATTAAAAAAAAACACCTCACCTTGCTTTCTTGAAACTTTGGCATCAGTAATTTTAGTTAACCTATCACGTCCTAACGTTATTAATTCATTGTGGCTCAATGAGATGGGTTCGTGGTTAGCAGATGAAGAAATTAAACTAATCTTCCACTTCATTTGTAATACTGTATTTGTAAGAGACAATGAAAACAAACAAACACGTACAAAAGTAAAGTTAGCACTAAAAAATTTGAGATGGACTGAGTTTGGCAAAATTTTTATCGGTATTATATGCCGATACTGATCGGTTCTGTACTAAATATTTACTAAAAATTGTGAGAAAATTAATGGAAAACACTAAATTTTTACAATGAAGTACGTGTGCTAGAACTCCCAATAAAAATATTCAAAATTAAACTAAAAATGATTCATCAATAAGTGGTTTTATACTGCTAAATAGGCATTTTTAAATTGATTTCAATGGGATATAGGATGGTTTTGTAGCAGTTTATATGGCTAAGCAATTTCAAACAATATATATATATATAGAATACATTACTCACATCGTTCATTACATTGATTAAAAACTTATAACCTAACTGCTATACAGTTTCCAACAAATTATATTCAACATATATATGAACATTTCAATATGTTTTATAACAGCTTAACCATCCCCTACATTAGAAGCATCACCCATCATCATTGTTTCTCTACACAACAACTTTAAAACCCCACGTAGCACAGACTGAAAAAAATATACAACGTTTTGAAAAAAGGCTCGGTTATCTGCAAAACTGTTTTCAAGTTTTCAGACCAATATAACACTTGTAATTTGTGACGAATAAAATTGGAATTAGGAAAAAACAAATTCTAACGACAAATAAATTTGAATCAGCTGAATTAATTAGAATGCCGGCTTAAGTGAAGTGATGTAAGGTAAGGCAGAGGAATCTAAAAAAAAGTTCAGCCAAAAAAATCTTATTGATCTCGCGCCTAAGTGCCTGCAAAACAAAACAACCCTCTCGCTCCTGTAAGCTGCAAGCAACCATGACAACGACGACGACGACGACGATGATGGTAGTGAAGAAGATGATGATAGAAATGACGATAATGATGATGATGGGGTGAGGAAGAAGATGATAATGAAAATTATTGAAGATGGTGAAGATGATGAAAATGACGATGGTGAAGGTGGAGATGATGACGATGAACAGAAAAAAAGTATATCAAATGTTATCGATTGACGCGACGAGTTCTGTGAAGATGATGACGACGATGATCACGCAACTCGATAATGTTTACTTGTCTTTCCAAATCTTTTGATCGTCATAGAGATGTGATATATATATATATATATATATATATATATATATATATATATATATATATATATATATATACGTATATAATCATGTCTATATTTATTTATATAGCGCGAATTTCAAGCGTAAAGTCAATAGACGTGTGTACCCAACATGTGCAATGTACGTAATGAATGCATTCAAGATGATACGAGGTGGCATTGAAGAGAAAAAATTGCAACGGAAGACATGGATGACGCTTGAATTTTTTAATTTTTTTCCCGACTATCATATAAAATATTATTCCAATGACATTTCACTAAACTCGACTGTTAATTTTTTATTTATTACTAATAACCACTTAATTTTACAAAATAAAAAATGAAATAATACTATTAAGGAGGATATATAACGTACAAAATGTTCCCATTTAAGGTTCTACTGGTCCTGGCTTCTTTGCTCCAAACATCGTCAGCAGGTAAGAAAGGAAACTGATTCATCATTTGTAGCTGTAAATTTGTATTATCAATCATATATGTGTGTACGTATGTGAGTGTGTGTGAGTGAGTGAGTGAGTGAGTGAGTGAGTGAGTGTGTGTGTGTGTGTGTGTGTGTGTGTACGTGTATTTGCGCCAAATTTCAAGGTATAGGATATGTCAGTGTCTTAAAATACAATTATCGATTATGTTAACAAAAATATTATGTGAATTTCATATATGGATATGATACAATCAATATTAACCATTCACAACTCACAAAACAGGTATTTTTTGTTCATTTCCTACAAATTGGACTGGGATCTATTACGATGAGTACCATGGCTACAACAACAACAACAACAACATCAACAACATATTATACAAGAACAACAATAATAATAACATCAATAACAACAATAAAAATAACCATGATAACGATGAAGATGATGATGCTGACGGAGATGATGGTGATGACGTCAATTCAGCTTCGCCGGCAGATTACGAAAGTGACGTTGTAAAAAATTTAAATTTAAAATTAGCCGGGATCGGGTTTTCCCAAATAGATTCAAAGATAGGTCCCATCGTCCACGTGGGCCTTGATCACGTGTCCAATAAGGGGATCTGCCTTCAGAATTATGACGAATACTTCCTCTTTTTGAATAGGTTGCGGTGGTAGTTGATTGATTGATTGACTGACTGATTGATTGATTAATAGATTAACTAGTTGGTTGATTAACCGGTTGGTTGTTAGTTATTTGCATGTACATTATTATGATTGCATGCATCTCAAACAGACGGGAAACCTGTTATACGTGCAGTCACATAGAGCAGAAACACATGAACGTACTAATGTATAGAGACTGTTAGTTTTCCGTTAAAAAAATTTACATTTTGTAACATTCATCATCGGATTATCACAATCGTATTATCATCATCGTTCTTGTCATCATCGCTGTCAATATTCTCTTTTTGAACATCACCATCACCTCGTCGTTATCGCTACCACCACCATGCAGCTCCTTGCATCTCGGCCACCAGCTACAATAACGCAACTTCTCTTTGCTCTCTCATCAGAGATACTGCTCTTCGTTATGCTCTTGTTAGAGGTTATGATGATTACAATGACGATGATAACGACGATGAAGATGGTGTTGACGATGATGAATATGATGACGATGTTAAGAATTGATGATAACCTACAGTCAAATACATACCTACCCTCTGCCCATTCCGACGAGATATGATATTCACGTATACGGATCGAAACCTGGATTTTTGCAAAAACCTGGAATCCCGGCTTTCCGTGCATAGCAGCGGTCAGAAGTTTCAGTTTCACTTTCGACACTGCGTACAATGGACAGCGTACAACGAGAGAAGTGCGATAGATGTTATTTTTATTTTTGATGTTTTAATAATTATAATTAATGTTATGTTGTAAGTTGTTGATGGATCTTAAGATTTCATCATCATTTATCATCACCAACACCATCATCATCATCATCAGACATGAAGGCTGACTGCGTTGCTTACTGGCTTGAACACGGAGAAACAACTGCTATAGTTCGATTCCACAACTACAACAACAACAACAATTATAATAATAATAATAACTATAGACTAAAGAATAATAATTTCATAGCAAATACAACACCCGCCATATTCTCGAAAAAAAGACCAGAGAAGTTCTTGCAGTACGCTGCCGACCAACCAGTGGTCGGTTTCATATGCTTGGTTGGTTAGCGTCTAGTGCCACTGTGATTGTTCTTATTGTTATACAATACAATAACAATATACAATACCAACGTGTGTATAATAAAAATATAAGATGGTGAATATATAACAAAATGTACATATATCAATACGCTAATACCTTAAATACATAACCGATATAACACACAATGCAATACATTCAAAATACATACATACGCTATCGTACGCCTACAAATAAAATAATCCAAATTCAAAAACTCCAAATCCGACCATTAAAAATACAACTATTCAAACAACTAATACCCAAAATACAAAAGAAATACATCACGTACAATCTATAGAAAATATCGACAAATCTGACATCAAACGTCAGCCACATGTCGACCTCAGTAAGTTTGAATTGCGATAGCCTGTCGAATTCATTTGACGGCTCCTTAGTCCTTCAGCTGGTTCAAGGTACGTCTGCCTCTCGTGATGGTGCTTTTCTTTCTTATTATAAATTTTTATGTAATTTCATTTCAGTATTGGGTATTATTAGAGATTACGCCGTTAAGTTTTTCTCACAATGGTATGTTTTCGATTTAAGGGTGAATTTTATAATTTAAGGTTTGGAACTCTAAATTAACTCTGTAATTTTTTTAAATTATGGCAAAGATTTATTCAGATTTATAAAAAAAATTCTTCAAAATTTATTTAGAAATCACAAACTATCATTATAGAAGATTTATGTCATTTTGTTCACCAATACCTTAATATTGTTCTTTCAATTTTTAAAAAGTTCCATGAAAATAGTTTTCAAAAATAAACGATACTAGATATTATTGGATGTTAAATATTTAACCAGATAAAGTTAATTGGCCAATAAGTGATTGTTCCTTTCCTCATTGGTTGGCCAGGGCTGCTTGGAGAGATTTGATTGGTCACCAGTTCGTCAACCTGAGCCAATCAAATAAATTGAACATTTACAAAAAATCCCGTTTCGAAAGGGTTAAGAAAGAATTTACATGTATTGAATTGGTAGACGCATTTTTATTGGATGAAAGATTTGTTTATGCTGTTATCGCCAAACATGATTGGTGAATACAATTTGAATTTTAAATATTTAAATTTTTTTCCTCCAATCAAAAACAAGTATATAATTGCTTGGTTTTATCTTAGGAACACACAACTTCAGTGCTTGATAATTTGGAAACGATCCAACAATACAATCGTTATCAGAAACGGTTAACTATTTATTCATTCATTGATTCATGCATGCATTCATTCATTCATTCCTTCATCCGTTCATTCATTCATTCATTTGTTCATTCATTTACTCATTTTTCCATTATTTAATTTATACATACTTTTATAGGCATCCTAACCTTTAGATTGTGTTTTATCTTTTAATTAAATTTATACTTTTGTACTCAAATACATTTTTCAGTTGAACAAATTTACGGTTCAGTTCAACGTTTTTGGAGCCAACATCGTAAACATCCCTGATTTGCTTCAATTTTGGAATACAATTGTTTTCTTCTGCTTATTTTCCCTCATGTTTCTGCACAACGTATCGAGTTAATTTATGCGCTTTCAGTTTCAGTTTCACTTTTTAACTTTTTTTTATCGATAAACCTGTTTACCATTACTAAAACCAAACTTCAAAAATTGTTTTACGATCATTTTCCTGATCATCTGTTGTTAA